CTGGGGGACAGATTTGAGCTTTGCCTCCTTTCTCCTCGCCATCGGAGCTTGCCAATAAAAGCTCTTTCTTTTCTCAAAGCCGGTGTTGGCTTCTATGCATGTGGGGCAGCGAGCCCTAGCTCGGGAACACCTTCACCCAGGCCCAGCCACTGGCAACGGGGCTGAGAAGTGGCCAAGGCTGGGCTGAGGGGCAGAGGGCCGAGGGTGCCATCAGCACATGCCAACCCTCGTCCGCCAGGCCCTCCACTCCCCATGCAGGACGTGGCCTTTCATTCTGCTGGACGACGGTCATGGCGACGACGACAACAGCCACAAGCTGCATGAACATCACACACAGCAAGAATTGTTACCCCATGTTAGACAAGGAAACGGGTCCTGCACACAGGATCCCAGCAAGGCTGGCCTGGAGCCCGCAGTGCCCACCCCTCACCGCCCTCTTCCCAAACACACCCTCTGTACTGACCTCACATGACACATAGCGGACCTTTTAATAACACCCCTAACAGAGATGGGCCTGGCCTCAGTGGGGGTAGCGAGCTGATATGTTACTAATGCACATTCCAGCAATTTCCATCTCATAACGATCCACGTTTATACCTGAACACATTTAAAATGACCCGCCTGCGAGGTAACCCACGCAGCACTGTCTGTAGTAACGAGATACGGGGTACACACCTGGCCTGTTGATGGGGCAGCAGCCTCCAGCCCAGGGCCTACCCACCATCCTGAGGCTGTAACTGGACATGTCCTGAGCCCAGGCCTTGCCCCCCATCCAACCTCAAATGGGCATTTGGAGGGCTCAGAGCCATGCTGAGTCCCTCCAGTCCTTCCCTCCAAGGGGTCCCCTCCTTCCCCAACTCAAGGCTCTGCAGTCAGCACCTTCCATGAAATACCCCAAGAGCGCTGCCCTCTGGCCCCGTTCCTCCCATGGGCACTGAGAATGCCCAGTCCTAGCAGCTGTCACCAGCATGGACTCAGCGCGCCTTGCTGTGTGGGCATCGTGGACGGGCAGGAGCAAGGGCATTAACTTCCTGACTGAGACAAGCTAGGGAAAAAGCACCCTCAAACCCGCCACCCGCCACCGGACTCAGCTTGTGCTCCTGGAAGAGGTCAGTTTCTTCAAAAACGTCCTTGGGCTTAAGCATCCTTGGGCCCCTGCAGCGGGCCCCCCACGTGGTGGGCACAGGGTCAGAGCAGCAGCTACCACAAGGCAGGCGGGAGCCCACTTGCCGAGGGGTGGGTACCCCCTTCTGAGTGTCCACCGAGACTAGTTTTAGTATGTGACTTCGGCTGATTTCTAATAAAACCGAGATTCTCTCTGCTCCAACCTATGAAACCCAGGAGTTGAGCTTCCTACCTTCCTATTACCGTGCAGACGTGGAATGTGTGTGGAGATTTACTGCTCGCTGTAGACACAGTGATTACAAAATATTTTACTGTCGTGGATTACTTTCACTTCACATTACTGGGTGAGGGTGGGAAATCCTATAGGAGGCATGAGGCCTCCAGCCAGGCCAGGGGTCGTCCGATAGCCCGGGCTTCCCTGGGAACCTCGACTCCAGGCATTTTCACCTTCTGGGAAATTTCCATAAGATGCTCCGATTGATAGACATCTCCTCCCAGGACCGCAGGGAGAACGGCCCTCAGACTCCAGTTTCCCTCAGGAAGCACAGGATGCTGCCTCAGCAGAAACGGACCCTGGCCACATCCCCCAGGCTTGCACTCACCCCCAAATGCAGTCACACCAAAGAGGACAGTGGCCGATGTGTGGGGCCTGAGGCTGAGGCCTCCCATGTGGGCCTGCACACCAAGGGCAGACAGGTGAGAGGGGGCAAGACTGTGACCCCACTGGGTTACCCAAGGCCACCCAGGGGAAGGCGCCCGGACTCCACCCCAAAGCTGGAAAGCAGGGAGGTAACCCCTGGCCCTGCAGCCCCTAGCCACACCCCTAAAGCGTCAGAAGCCTCCAAAGAGGACAGAAGGCTTAGTGGCCCAGCCCAAGAGAAAACAGCTCAGAAAATCGAGGTCAAGCCCCTCCCACCACTGACACAGGCAGTTTCCATCAGCCTGTTAAAAACAGTTTCATCCCGCAGCTCCAAGTGGCTTCTGGGCATTGGGAGGGTCAGGCAACCTGCACCCCAAATGCTCACCCTTTCAGCCTGAGTGTGGCAACTCTGGAGCTCTCTCAAACTTCCTTGGCCTCAGTTTCCCCACCAGTGAAATGGGGCGAAATGAGTATCTCACAGGCTCACAGGGAGAAACACCTGAGACCAGCACACAGCAGGTGCAGAACAAGTGTAGGTGCTCTCTCCCACCCCCACCTAGAGCCGCATGGAGACCAGGCCCATGATGTCACCAGGGTGACTGCCCGGCTCACTTTGAGCTTGGGGACCGGGGGGTCTCCAAGGTCCCTCCCCTGTGGGCAGTGGACACATGTCCCTGACACGGTGGTTTGGGGCCTTTTCTGTGGCTCTCGCACTTCGAGAAACTCGTGCGAACTCCAGACCCTGTGCCTGGCAAGTCCTCGTGCAGAGACACCCCACACGCAGAGTGGACAGACTCCGCCTGGGGGTGCGAGGGAGGGAGATCATGCCCCTTCCCACCCCACAGCTCGGCGCCTGGTGCAGGCCCCCCACACACACTCCACTGCTGGCCGTACCTGAGGAGGCCATCCAACCTGCCCACCCAGAATTCCACCCTGAACCCATGTGCGCCCTGGGGCGCTGCCCAAATCTGGGTGAGCAGTCACTCGGGGCAGGTCTGCCCACCCAGGGCCCACTCCCCATTGAGCACAAGCAGAGGAAAGGGTCCTCAAGGGCCTTGGAACTGGGAGAGGTGGGTCCACACCTCGGGGTCTCAGATCCCTCCTGACTCAGTTGAAGGCAACTGTCTGTAGAATATGCTTCTGGAAAAGCTCACGAACAGAGGGAGTGACGGCCATGGCTCCACGCCCAGAGCACGGCTATGGAGACAACCCTTCCGCAGAGGGCGGGGGCAGAGGGGGCCCCTGGCCTGGCGCCCTCCAAGCCTGGGGGCCACAGGGCGGCCGCCTCCCTCCCTACCTCTGACAGCACCTGCCCCAGGATCTACCGGGACACCTCCACTTTCCAGAACCAGGTTTTGGGGACAAAAGGCAGAAGAAGTGGCCTACGCAGGCTCGGCACTGCCCCAGCCCCCAGGACCAGTCTCCAGTCAGGACCGTAGCAGCAGCAAGGCTGCCAGCCCCATGCTCTACTCAGGGACAATCCACAAATCAAATGATGCACAGACACGAGCCAAGCCAGTCTGTCTGTCTGAGCCGGACAAGGGAGCAGGGACACAGGGGCAGCCACACCCTCGGGCCCCAAACCAAAGACCAGCATGGGGAGGCCGCAGAGACCTCCTGGGTCAGGGTGGGGCTGAGCCCCACGCTTGGGCTGGAAGTAGGGAAAGTGGGTAATTCCACAGCCGGGGATGGGCCATGAGCATCAACAGCAGGTTGGATGTGTCACCACTCAGGGACAGCCCACTGGGCCAACCCTCAGAGTTCGTCTTCACCATGCCCTGGGGGGCAAGGAGCAGCTGTGCCCACTTTGCTGATGGGAAAACTGTGGTCTGCAGAGATTCTGTGACTGGACTTAAGTGCCTAACACAGCAGCTGCTGGAGACCCCTCCTGCCTACCCCACTCCCCAGGAAAACCCCTGCTATGGGGCGGCCTCCCCCTGACTTTGAGCCACCCACCAGTGAGCTGGGGGCCAGGGGAGCTCAGGGAAGCATTGCTCCCCACCCCCCCAACCCTCCCCACCCCCGTCCTCATTCAGGGTTGCCGGAGGAGACAACACAGAGACTCCCCTCACCCCCCCCACACACACACATGCTCACTCACACACTCACACTCACACGCACACACTCATACACACACACTCACACTCACACACACTCACTCACACACACACTCACTCTCACACTCACTCACACACACTCACACTCACACATGCGCATGCGAGCAAGCAGAGCCTGACCCAGGGACCCCACACACTCTGCTTCTCATTCTGGATACGGCAGCTTTTAGGAGGCAGCTGGCACAGAGGCACTGACCACTTCAAGCCCAGGCAGGGAGAGGACACTAAGGGCCAGGGCCAGAACCACACAGAGGGGACCCCCAGGAAATGCTGCCAACCAGCGACATTCATGCCCAAAGCGCAGTAAACCCTCCGGAAGCCACACCACAAGTCAGACGAGGAGCCCCGGCTGCTGGGCTGTGGGGGTGGGCTCTGTCGGAGGTCACCTCAGGTGAGGACCCTGACCGGAACCTGTCAAAACAGGAGCCTCCTTGGCCCCCAGCAAGGCAGATAGGAGGTGTCAGTGGGTGGGTCATTGGTGAGACACAGGGCTCTTCAAGGATGACCAGCCAGAGCCACCTGGGGGGAGGCGGTGGGGGGGCCTGCTGCTCTTGGGATGCCCAGGGAGGCTGGGGCTGGTCCCCCCAGGACACCCTCCCCCTGCCCCCAGCAACCTGGCATGTCCCTCGCAGGGTCTTTGACCCCATCCCACAGAGGGTCTGTCCAGGGCAGACAGGCCCAGGTACATGGACACATCGAATGGGTCACAGGCACACATTCCTCTCATCTCAGGTGGGTACACGGTCAGTTGGAGAGTTTCCCAGAATCTGTCCCTCACTTCCGTCCCAAAATGCCTCTTTCATACAAAATGGCTGAGTCCTGGCCCCAGTCTAGCTGGGATGGGAGAGGGAGTGCCTGAACGCTTGGAGGCTGTGCACGCCAATGGCACAGGACGCACACGCAGACACTTCGGCACAAATACCACATGAATACTCATGTGCACACAACCCAGCCTGCCGGCCAGAGCCGCCCCCTGGGAGCCAGAGGTTCAGGAGGCCTGGGGAGACTGACAGCCCCTTCTAGGGCCAGGGCTGGCAGTGGGCACCCGCCTCCAGGTTGTCCACTGTGCCAGGGAGGCGTCCAGAGCCGGGAACGTGCGGTGGGCATCAGACACACACCTGCTCCTCCAGCTAGCAGCTGCAGAGAGGGGTCAGACTGCCCTGGGGAGGGGGGAGTCGTGGATGCCGGCTGGACAGGGAGGGTGCAGGCACCGCGGGCAGGACGCCCAGCGCCCTCAGCCTAGGGCTGGAGGAGGGGAGTCATGTTAGGACCCCTCCCCCATTTCAGCAACCCAGAAGCTCACCGCAGACAGAGTGAGCGTCTTGGGGGGATGGGGAGGGGAGGCCAGCTCTTCCCCCCATCACCCCCGTTCCTTGGGGTAACCCAGCCCAGGGGAGTGCCGGGCGTCCGGGTCCAGACAGGACCGCCAGCGCGGCCCGCCCTGCCCGCTGGCCCTTTGTTCGGTGCAGTGGCCGTGGGGAGGGGCCTCCCGGGCAGAGGAGTGGAGGATGCGGCGCCGCACAACCGGTTCTGCGGGGGAGGGGCTGATGCAACCCCGCCAGGAGCGGGGAGCCAGGGCCCTCA